CTGGTCAGGGTTATATGTAAAAAAATTAATCCACTGTATGAAGAAGAGGAGTCTGTCATAGAAAAAAAAGCCGAAGGTCCTCTTAGAATTTTTTTACTCAAGAGAGCAGAGCTGTCGTCTGTGTCTTATAGATAAGAAGCAAATTAGTTGATAAGGATTACTTGTGATGTCTTCTCCACACAGACCACAACCCCTCTTTCTGCTTCCCTAGTTGGAAAAAGTTTGCAGGGAAAATTTTTGTCTTCACTTTTGGTAGTTGATAGAGGCGTCTTTAGAGAAACTTAGGAGCTAGCAGGAAATTCATGAGATAGCAGGAAAAAAAACGAACAACCTGCACACCTACCACACTATATTCTTGTATGTATGAATACTTCATGCATTCAGCTCACAGGATCACCAAATTTCTATGGGTTGCATATTTGATAAAGCCACAGGACTGCACACTGCCTTCATGCAGTCCCCTCCAAGGTAGACCTTTTTGAGGTTTAGATGCATATACAGGCATTACACTGTCTTTTTGCACCTAAACTGAAACAGACTTCCATACCCCATTGGTAGTGTGGAAAATGTTAAGATTTGCTTCCCTGGCTTATTGCTGCCAGATCCAAATGTACTCTGTCCTTACTCTGATAAATGTAAGAAACTGCTGGAAAAGTTACATAACTACAGCATCTGCATTACTCAGCTGCAGCTAATGACCACAATCAAACCGATTTTTCTGAAGTGTGTGTCATACAATTTTGGATAAAATACATCTTATACTTGTGTATCTCAGAACACAAACCCAGAGAAAGCGTCTATGTGAAATAAATCCACATTCACTCTAAAGAGATACATGACTTCTGGAATAAGTAAAAGGTTTAACAACTTTATTCTCTCCTTAACAGTTAAAACTTCCTATTGAATTATTTAATAAATTCCGTTGCAGCAGAGTTTCCTACACAGGAGCATATTTTTCCAATGGAAACCAACAGTAGTGTTTGTTAGATCCAGTATATCGTGTTATTATGGCCTGCACTGACTTAGGAGAAGGAATATCACCTCCATGCCACATCTTGCAAGACAGATTTGTCAGCATAACATGAAACATGTACTAATTCAGAGACCCATGCTTTTCACTGAGAAAGTGTTGTGCATTTCATTTCCTGAAACATTCTATACACACTTTTAATGAGGTTGTGATCACCCTACTTTTAAAGATGAGTCCTGATTTGTTTACAAGGTCTGGAAAAAATCATCCGTATATATACATCAAAAGTAAGAGAGTGTGTGTGGGACAATCCATGTGATGTAGAGATATCAATGTAATAATATATTGTAAAATTATGCAGTAAAATTACATTTAATCACAAGAAGGAAGAGCACCTGTTTAAAAGACACTGGCTCATGAAACCATGTTAACTCCAACCATATCCCTTTGGTATATTGACCTGTGTTGGTTTGGTTTGTTGGGTTTTTTGGTTGTGGAATTACAGTATTATTTTCCCCAAGTTGAGTCTGTTTTGCCCAGGCCCTTAATCAGTGAAGATCCCTCCTTGTCCTTTGTCTGGACCCATGAGCTTCTAGTTGGGCTTTGTCCTCCCCATCCCAGGGAGTGTGTGAGAGGGTAGTTGAGTGAGCGGCCACATGGCTGGTTCTTTCTTGTCGCGTTGGGCCCAAACCACAACATGACCAAAAGGCTTTTTTTTTTGTCTTATCGAGTTTATTTTAAAAACTGAATACTTCAGGCAAGAGTTTATAACTTGCTTTAATTTAAATTACATTGTGTTCAGAATGATCATAGCCATTTTATAATCGGAAAGACAATAAATTCCTTGTCCAGAGCAAACCTAGGTAGTGTTTACTAGAGGAAACAGAAGTAAAATTAACTTCATTACATAGAGCTTGGGAGCTTTTAGATGCTGTAATTAGAAAGATCGAAGAGTTCAGACACCTAGATAAGATAGATTAATAAGCTGCAAGTTCTCATGAACAAATATGTCCAGTCAGTTTCCAAAGATGTCCCCACTGTATGATCACTTCTGGTTAAACCTAGTTGGGTTGCTGGACAAATTTGAGTGCCACTACTGAAAAGTGTTTGTGAAAGAGTTCTAGAAAGGTAGCTATTCTGAGAAAAGGTGTAAAGTAGGGAAAAGTGGGAAAGGCTCAAGGGTAAATGTGGCAGTTTGCACAAAGATTTGGGATTTTACCAGCTGTGAGTTAATTTAGGACACAATGAAGAAAACACCTATGTATCTTTTGGACAGTATGGATCACAGCAATGCTCCTCCCATTGATGCTAGACTTGTGACTGCCAAAACTGTGTCTTGTTACTTCCACTAAATCAAATCTCAATAATTTCTGCAACAAGTATTTGCAAATTGGTTTCTGATATTAAACTGAAAGGAAGAGGCCAAGGAAAGAAAGTTCAGCCAGGACTGTTTTTGTAGGTGTCGCGAGCTGGTACCGGGGGGCTACCGGCTGTCAGGATGTTTTCGCGACTTCCCACCCCAATATGGAGAGGTTTGTTAAAAAGCCCGAGCGTCCACCTCTCTCAGAGGAACGGCCGCTGAGGGTTCGTTTCTAAGAGGGTAGATTAAAGTACCCTCCCACCACGCTCACAAATTATTACTGAGACCAATGTTTAGTTTGCAATTAATCAATTTATTAAGGAACAATACAAACTAAGGGATCAAGGTTCAGGAGAGGTTAAGTAGGTATGTATATTGGAAAAGGGATTCAAAGGCACTAAGGTTTATGAGGGCACACTCCGAAGGAGAGGTGTAAATCAATGGAGTGAAAGGGTAGGAGTTGAGCCTAGTAAGAAAGTTAAAGTGTATGTGTGTGTGTATATATTTACCCTCCTTCCTTGCGTAGCGCAGTTCTGTAATGTGCTGGCAGGCTCGGCTGGAGATCTGCAGGGGGGCCTGCGTCCCAGTGACCGGGGCGACCCCCTCCTGCTGCTGGCAGGGCTCTGGTCCCGTGGCTTTGTGGGAGATGCAGGCTGGGCAGGCTTCTCCGGTCCGGTTCGGTCCAGGCTGGGCAGGTGTATGTGTGTGTGTGTGTGTATTTACCCTCCTTCCTTGCGTAGCGCAGTTCTCGAAATGTGCTGGCAGGCTGGGCTGGAGATCTGCAGGGGGGCCTGCGTCCCAGTAACCGGGGCGACCCCTTCCTGCTGCTGGCAGGGCTCTGGTCCCGTGGCTTTGTGGAAGATGCAGGCTGGGCAGGCTTCTCCGGTCCGGTTCGGTCTAGGCTGGGCAGGCAAGGTCCCTGGGAGGGGGCAGGATCCCCGGGAGCGGGCACAAGCAGTGCCCCCCCCTCTCCGTTTCTCCGGGCAGCAGCAGTGGCGCTGAGGCAGGTTCAGGTGCTGTTGCAGGGTCTTGTCCCAGGCAGGCAGAGAGAGCGAGCAGAGACCCACAGAGAGCAGATCCTACTCTCTTCTTATGGATCAGAGACCATTGTTCCAGGAAGCACCATGGTCTGAATTAGCCAATCACCATTGGCCAGGCACATATTCTGTTAGAGGCAGTTTTTAACCTATTGTCTATTTCTCTGCCACTTATTATGACCCTTGTGCTGCTTCTTTACTGTGCACTTATCTGGTAGGGCAAGAGGCCTGCTCATTCTGTCCTTGAGTGAATCAGTGAAAAGGCATCACTCCTGTTTTGCTGACTTGAAAGGCATTTGTTGTTTAGTCTTATATAGTGGGGAAGAAGAGGGACTGTTCCCCACAGTAGGATGCGAGGACATTTCTACAGTATTTAGAGATGTCTGGTAAGCATAGAAATACATAGCTACTACTAACCCAAGAGGCAGAAAGAACTGGGAGTAACTAGTTATATATGAAGAAATCTGATGTCATAGTATAATCAAAGATGTTAAGAAATCATGCAAGCATTACAGGAAGAGTGAAAAAAATCAGACTGATGAAGACTGGAAGAAGATTTTGATTTGAGGACAGAGATCAAAGATTTGGGACAACTGAACAGATATCTAATTATCTTCAGATTACTGAATCAAGATATCATATTCCCCTGAGAAACTAGCAAAGTGGTGAGGTCAACCGTTTTTGATATTCTGCTTATTTCAGGCATTTTGGAAGCTGACACCAAACTTGTCTCCACCATCCATCTCAGCTCCCAGCTGCCACTTGAGAAGGTTCTCAGCTTCCAACATCCACTACTCATTTTTTTATATCTTGGGGAAGTGATCCTGGTTCCCAGTCCCCAAAGCAGAGAAACTTGCCTCCCAAATCCTTCAATATGCATCCTTAAGAAAGCAAAGACACACAGGCTGGCATTTACCTGAGAAGCAACAAGCAATTTAAAGTAGAATCAAGAGTGAATTATTTATTTTATGAGTCTCAATGCAAAAGAATGAGAATTGGATTTGTGTTACCCTGTGAATGGACTTTTGGATGAAGATAAGAGAGAGCAAAGAGGAAGTTAGCGTGTTGTCCTTTCTTTTGCAGGAGGAGGAGCACTAGTTCCATAATACATGTTATCTTTCAAAAGGCCTCCAGGCCCCAGAGCAGCAGGTTGAAACAGGCTAGTAGCAGTGAGAATATCAGAGAAGCACAGGCTTGTTGGGTGGGCAGGACAGCAAGGCTATTGGAGAGAAAAGAAGCAAATAGTTGAGAAGAGGCATGGGGAGATAGAGAATCATACTTCTGTGCAAAAATACTTCAGTGCAGCTCCAAGAGACAGAAAGACACGTTAGTCCTAGGAAGTGTCAGAAGGGAACAAAAAATGCAGTTTTATGAGCAGTAAAGGTGTTAGAAAGAGAAGGTGGGTGGAGAGTTGCAGAAATGTATCAATTTCCCTCCCTCCCAGTTTCTTTAGGGGCGTTTTTCTCAGAGCTTTTCCTCTCTTTTCCCCTCCCCACAGCAAACAGCCAAGCTGGGAAGAAGAGATTGTCTCTGAACTTAGGAGGGTGGCTTGGCACAGCAGACTGATAGCAAGCAAGTAAACAGAGCTGACAACTGTGGTAACCACAGGAGCAAAGCCTGCTCAGTGACAAGAATGACAGCTCTTCCAGAGGTAAGGAAGTGGGTCTGTCTTGCAGTCTGCTGAGGTACCTTTGTTGCACCCCTCTGTTTTTTGTTTTGTTTTGGTTTGGTTTGGGTTTTTTTGGTTTTTTTGTTGTTTTTTTTTCCCCTGACACAGCTGCTGCTTATTGCCTTAGGGGACTGGATCAGTGGAGATTTTGACAGTTTGTATCCAGAAGAGGGTTCTCCAGGTCTCAGAGTTAATTACGTGGGATGGGTGATGATTTAGTTCTTCCCCATCCTGTTAGTCATCCTAATGGCCATTTTGAGGCTGTATTCAGATCTGTTTAAGCACTGACCAACAAGTAGTAACAATAACAACAACAGTAATAATCTCATTATTTGTATCTTTTATTGTATCCCCATTTTTTCAACAAATTATTTTAAGAAAGGACTTACATGGAAACATGCAAATTTTTTCTCCACAGGCAATTGTGGGTAAACATGGCATAGTTTTCTGAATGTGAGAATGACACAGTAAACCTAATTGCTCCCAGTGTAGTGTGGTGTTCTTTCCCTTTTTTGGAAATAACTAATAAAATGTTAATTTCTTATATGCAGACAAATTGCATTGACTGAACTGTTAGCTCAGGATTGCTCAAATGCACAAAACATTCAAGAACAATAGTGATAAGTAAAATTTTCTATGTAAATAAATATTATTAAAAATAGAAATGTGTATCATTTATTATCTTGAGAGCTGTTGAGTGTTGCAAGAGCTGTGGCTGGTAATGCAGATAGCCACTATATTTGCCTTGTCTGAATTTTTCTGGCTGAAGAATTTAAATAAATGTTTTATTTGTATATTCATTCTTATATTTCTGTGTGATAAATATCAGACAATAAAATAATTTTAAATACTTGTTGGCCATGGTTAAACTTCAGATTTTTAGTAGTCTACAATATAATTCAGCAAACTTTCTGTAGAGTGTCTCAGGTTAGCAGGCCCTGTATTTTGAACACTGGCTAAAATATTATTTCTCAAATGGCATTTAATGTGCTCAATTTATGTACCTAAGTGTTTTGCTGACAAATGATAAATGTAAGAATATGTTGAAATTTATGTGAATATGGGGGCATTAGTCTGAAAATGTCATCCACATGACTGATGTGATAAACACAATTTGGGTAACAGCCAAATTCAGTAATTCATTAATGGTCTACTGGCTAATAATAATACCCCTAAATTTTCTAGTAAATAGTTATGAAAAATAAAACACATTTTCCCTACCTTTGATCTCTTTAGTTTATTTTATTTAATTTTCCTAAAAGTTAGATGCTTCTATATCTGGAACAGCCCTGAACACTGGAAAAATGCAAGGTGAGGAAGTATTAGGCAAAGGAACTTCAACCTCCATGCAGAATTCAGGAATAGCTCGCAAACGGAAGGAGGTTATAAAGGAAAATAAAATTCCTTGGCTGATTTAGTTGCATTGAATAATTCTTGCTTTAGTGCTAACTAAAGTTTCTGCTAACCTAGGTCATGCTTGCATTTGAATTGGATTATTTATATAGTATATAAATTCAGAATTATTAATTTTATAATTGAGGACAATTAGAAGCAAACTTTTACATTCAGTGTAAATGAGAACTGACAGTTTACAGTCAGTGAAAATTAGAAGTCAGACATTTGATCTCAGCTACAGCAAAGCCATTTAAATTTGAGCACCTGCACATTCTGAAAAGCATGAAAGAACTGAAACTAATGCAATATGCATGACTCTTCAATCTCATACAAATACTAATGATTTTTCTTACTCCTAAGTGGGGCCCATATGAAAAAGCTCTTTAGAGATAAAACGCTCTTTATCCTTTTCCTGAGGCTTGCTCAAACTATTAACCTGTCTTTATATGAAGCATGCTAGATGAGGCAACCAAGACTCAAAACATACCACAATACAGTGATTTGGCTTCCTGCAAGCTAGGTAGTGTTTCTTCATCCAGTGCCCTGGAAGTTGTTCTATTCCACCTCCAGTTCCATCTAGTTAAACACACAGTTCCTTGGCCAAGGTTCACTGAATTTGGAAGGGCTCTGTATATCAGTGCCTGTGTTCTGAGAACCACTTAGTCCATTTGTGGCAGAAAAGTGAAGTTTATATTAGATAAAGAATCTGACAGGGATATTGCCAAGGTTAGTAACTTTATAGGATTACTGAAAGAGCAGGTGTTTTTCTAGATTTCTTTAAGCTGTTGTCATGAAAAAGATATACAAGACAACTAAGTAAAACTGGCCTCCTCTTTTTTTCTCTCTTTGTGTAGGTCCACAAGTTCTCTCAGATCCAGCCCCAATAACAGAGGCAAGATTAGAAAGATATTTTTTATGAAAGGTGAAGTGTTTGAAGAACACTTTTTATTGTTATGACTCACATAATACAGACCTTAATTGAATTTCTGAGGAGAAGTACACAACCAATTTCCATTCCTCCAACTTTTCTTTTGGATTATGCTATTCTTTTGAAGTATGTGATTCTCAGCAAGAAATTTCTCTAGTTATTGGAGCCTTCGGGGGAAAGTCTAGTTGTCTTACAAATTTTTAAAAATATATAATTAGATGCATTTTCTATTTCAAAAGGAACATAATGTATAGGCCTGATACAAACCTACTGTTAACATCAAGTTTGGCAGAAATTGCAGTTACAGACTTGAAATAGCAGTTTCTTGTTAGTATCTCCATAGCCATGTCTGTTTAGTACTCTTTTTTTTTGAGAGAAACAGATGTCCTCTGATAATGTGAAGAACTGTAAAATTATAAATTTTTCATAGAATCATAGGATGGTTTGGGTTGGAGGGGATCTTAAAGATCATCTAGTTCCAACTCTCTGCTGTGGGCAGGGACACCTCCCACCAGACCAGGTTGCTTAGATCTCTATCCAACCTGCCCTTGAATACTTCTAGGGATGTTGCTTCCCCAGCTTCACTGGGCAACCTATTCCAGTCTCACCACCCTCACACTACAGAATTTCTTCCTAAAGTCTAACCTAATCTTAAGCTCTTTCAGCTTTAAACTGTTACCCCTCATTCTATCATTACATGTCCTTGTAGAAAGTCCCTCTGCAGCTTCTGGTACTGGAAGGCTGCACTAAAGTCTCTCTCCCTAAGGAGCCTTCTCTTCTGCAGGCTGAACAACCCCAACTCTCTCTGCCTGTCTTCAGAGGACAGGTGCTCCAGCCCTCTGATCATCTTTCTGGCCCTCGTCTGGACTCTCTCCACGTCCTTCTTATGTTGGGAACTCCAGAACTAGACGCAGTACTCCAGGTGGGGTTTCATGAGAGCCAAGTAGAGGGGGAGAATCACTTCCCTTGACCAGCTGATCATGTTTATTTTGATGCAGCCCAGAGTGTGGTTGGCTTTCTGTCTGCGAACCCACATTGCTCACGCATGTTGGGTTTTTCATCAACCAACACCCCCAAGTCCTTCTCCTCAGGGTTGCTCTCCATGCATTCTCCACCCAGCCTGTATTTGTGCTTGGGATTGCCCCAACTCAGGTGCAGGACCTTGCACTTGGCCTTGTTGAACCTCATAGAGTTTGCACGAGCCCACTACTCAAACCTGTCAAGTGCCCTCTGGATGCCATCCCTTTCCTCCAAGCATGTTGACCTCACCACACAGTTTGGTGTCATCAGCAAACTTGCTGAAGGTTCAGTCAATCCCACTGTCCATGTCCCTGACAAAGGTGTTACACAGCAGTGGTCCCAGGACTGATCCCCAAGAAATGCCACTTGTCACAGGCTCCAGTTGGACATTGAGCTGTTGACCGCAACCCTTGGAGTGCAGCCATCCAGCCAATTTCTTAGCCATGGAATGATCCATCTGTCAAGTCCATGTCTCTCCAATTTAGAAACAAGGATGTTATGTAGGACAATGTCAAATGCTTTGCACAAGTACAGGTAAATGATGTTATTTACTCTACTCTTACTGACCAGCACTGTAACCCCATTATGGAAGGCCACCAAATATTTCAGGCACAATTTGCCCTTAGTGAAGCTATGTTGCCTGTTACCTATCACCTCCTTAAATCCCATGCGCCTTAATATTATTTTCTGGAGGATCTGTAATGACCTTGACAGTCACAGAGGTAAGACTGATTGGCCTGTTGTTCCCCAAGTCTTCCTTTTTTTCAAAATAGGGATTATGTTTCCTCTTTTCCAGACAGTGGGACTTCACCAGATTGCCACAGCTTCTTAGATATGAGGGATAGTGGCTTAGCAGCTTCATGTGCCAGTTCCATCAGGACCTGCTGATGTATCTCATCACTTCCCATGGACTTATGTAGCTTCAGGTTCCTTGTATAGTCTCAAACCTGATCCACCCTACTGTGGGTGTTCTTCATTCTTCCAGTCCCTGTCTTTGCCTTCTGTGACTTGGGTGGTGTGGCTTGAGCACTTGTGGCTCGAGTACATCAGCATTCTCCATATCCCAGTTTATAGGTCTTCTGTTTCCTTCTGAAGAGGGCCCACATTTTCCGTTTATCACCGACATACCTATAGAAGCTTTTCTCGTTGCACTTGATGTCCCTGGCCAGATTTCACAGAATCATAGAATCACACTCTCATTTATTCCTAATGATAAAACCTAAATCCATGCTCTTCCATTTTAAACCCTTACCCCTTACTTTCCTGACCTGATCCCTGGTTGCTTGGACAGTTCCCATGTATTTTTCCCAGCCTACCCCGTCCTTGCTTCCACCCTCTGTAGTTTTCCTTTTTGTGTCTGAATTTCTCCAGGAGCTCCTTTTTTATCATCCAGGCTTCCTGGCACTTTTGCCTGACTTCCTCTTTGTTGTGATGCACTGGTCCTGAGCTTGGAGGAGGTGATCCTTGAATATTGACCAGCTTTCTTGGGCTCCTCTCCCCTCCAGGGTTTTGTCCCATGGTACCCTACCAAGCAGATCCCTGAAGAGGTCAAAGTCTTCTCTCCTGAAGTCCAGGGTAGTGAGCTTGCTGTGCACCCTCCTTGTTGCCCTAAGGCTCCTGAATTACGCCATTTTATGGTTGCTGCAGCCAAGGCTGCCCTTGAGCTTCATACTCCCCACCAGCCCTTCTTTGTTGGTGAGAACAAGATCCAGCATAACACCCTTCCTCATTGTCTCCTTTATCATTTGGAGAAGGAATTTATCATCCACACATTCTAGGGACCTCCTGGATTGCTTATGCTGTGCTGCATTACCCCTCCAAAAGATACCAGACTTGTGAACATGAGGCTACTCCTATCTATCTAAAAAGGGCCTCTTACACTTGGTCTTCCTGGTCCAGTAGCCTGTAGCAAACCCCCACTACAATGTCCCCTGTCCCTGTTCTTTCTTTAATCCTGACTTACAAGCTCTCAGTTGGCTCCTTATCCATTCCCAGGTGGAGGTCCATGCTCTCCAGCTGGTCACTGACATAAAGGGTGACCTCCCATCCATGTCTTCCCTGCCTATATCCTTCCATTCCAACACTCCAGTCATAGGACTCCACGCACCATGTATCTGTGATGCCAATAATATCATAGCCTTGCAGACATGCACGTTCCTCTTGACTCCTCTTCTTTATTCCTCATGCTCCACGGGGCACAAAAAGTACGATTAGGTCAGATTATCAATGTGAAAAACAAGAAATGTACTGCAACAGAAAAGTCAGGAGCATTGTGAATGTCAGTCATTCACTCTCTCCTAAGTGTTGAGAGATGAGGGCTTGCATGTTGAAGAATATTTTTATTTCTTCCCTTTTCAGCCAAGCAATTTTTTTTAACTCCCTTCCCTGTCTTACTGTTAGGTCATGACAGTGATTTTCTACCTGAGGAGTAAAAGCTAAAGTGCTTTACTACAGTGACATGCAAAGGGAATTTGCATTTCCTTCTTTGTATTTTCTACATTTTATTTTGCCAGTATGATCATGTTCTGTAATCAGCAGCTTTTAATGCCAGGATTAACTTGTATGTACTTGCTCTCCACTTAGTTATCCTGTATCCTGCCTAAAGAATTCTGGAGAACAGGATTCTAAAGGGAGAAATGCAGTTAGGTATTTAACCCTTGTTAGCAGTTTCCATGAGTCAAGTAGGCTGACATATGCTTTTGAGAGGCTTCTGTTAATGATTTTATAAAATACACATCTGAAAGATATAAAATTATGAGGTCTATTTTTCTATTTCTGTGGGGTTTTTTTGGTCATGCTTTTGTGCAGGAATTGTACATAGTATATTAGAACAGATGATTACACAGAATCAAAGAATCAGAGAATTATTGAGGCTGGAAGAGACCTCTGAGACCATCAAGTCCAGCCTATGACCTAACAGCACCACATCAGCCAGACCATGGCACCCTGCTGGCTCATGTTCAGCTGCTGTCAACCAGCACCCCCAGGTCCCTCTCTACCAAGCCACTCTCCAGCCACTCCTCCCCCAGCCTGTGATGCTGCCTGGGACTGTTGTGGCCAAAGTGCAGGACCCAACACTTGGTCTTGTTGAACCTCATACCATTGGCCTCAGCCCGTTGATCCATCCCATCCAGGTCCCTCTGCAGTGTCTTCCTACCCTCCAGCAGATAAACAGTCTCCCCTAGCTTGGTGTCATCCACAAATTTAATAAGGGTAGACTTGATCCCCTCATTCAGGTTGTCAATAAAGATGCTGAATAGGACTGGGCCTGGCACTGATCCCCGGGGGACACCGCTGGTCACCAGACACCAACTGGATGCAGCTCCATCCACCATCACTCTCATCCAGCCAGTTTTTAACCCAGAAAAGGGTGCACCTTCCAAGCCATGGGCTGCCAGCTTGTCCAGGAGGATGCAGTGGGAGACTGTGTCAAAGGCCTTGCTGAAGTCAAGGCAGACCACATCCACAGCTTCCCCTCATCCACTAGGCAGGTCACCCAGTCATAGATTGGTTAGGCAAGACCTTCCTTTCCTAAGGCTGGACCTGATCCCCTGGTTGTCTTCTACATGCTCCTCAGTGGCCCTCAGGATGATCTGTTCCTTAACCTTGCCAGGCACCGAGGTCAGGCTGACAGGCCTATAGTTCTCTGGATTGTTCTTCTGGCTCTTTCATTTTCTTCACCTTTCCTCAGATGAAAATGTGTATGCTGTGATGTATTTAATTCTTGTAGGATTTTGCTTTGTTTCTTCTTGTGATTTTTGTAAAGATCTGTGTTTTTCTGGTTTTGTAGCAAAGAAGGCAGATACTGAATGTGGTGACAAATGCAGTTTAGCTGTTGTGTGTAAGGAAGCAACAAGGGCAGACAGGGGAAGAAAAGCTAGAACCTGAGAGTCATGATAGGCAAACAAAAAGTAATGAGTTTGCCAGCAAGGTGTGCACCCCCAGAGTATGAGGGGTGTAAGGCTGATTTGGTGAGAGCAGCTATGGCCAACCAAGAGTATAGATTGCCAGGAAGGTCCATTGTGATGAGGCAGGTCCAAGGGCAAACCTGCAGAAGCAAGCCTGTAGGTTTAAGGTCAGGATCCAGATTAGTGGGGTACATGGCCAGCCAGAGGCCTGGCTATTGCTGCAGCGTAGCTTAGATGGAGGTTAAGCATCAGAGCTGCAAAAAAGCAGTTGCAAAGTGAAGACTGTTTCTAGCTCTTTCTCAAGGAGCTCTAAGGCCTGTCAAGGTTTCTTTTAGTAGAGAACCAGCCTAGAGCACAGGAAGCTTAACTTGACGCTGTGGGGACAGTATGGTCCAGGCCCTGACACTGTCACGTCAGACTCTTAAGTAACACTTCCATCAGCTTTCACACCTATGAGATTCACTTGTTGCTTCTCTATTCCTCTTCCTTCCATTATCTTCTGATTTTTTTCCCTTCTACCTCCTTTTTCTCACTGTGTATTCTTACTAAGTTATTCCACTTCTCATTTTTTCAGTTCTTTGCCTTTTTAATATTATCAGCATCAATTCCCATGTCTGTTCTCTTCTCCAGTCTTATGTACATCAAAGTAGGTAGAAGCAGTGGACACACAAAGTAGCATAGTCATCTAGCTTCCTTTGCAGTCAATGGAGAAACAGGTAACTGTTTGTGTTTGGTTTTTTTTTCTGTTCATCTCATTTTTCTCTCTTCAGACCTGTGACCAGGAGCTGAGAACAGGTGCAAAGAAAAAACGATGTCTTCAGGGGAAAAGCCTACTTCTGTGTATACTGCTTCTCAGTACTCTCCTTGGATTTACACTACTTATCACCTACATCATGATGACTTGTAGTCTAGGTATAATACGGTATATAATTTTCCTTGCTTCTTTATCCACCCTATTTGTAAGATCCCTTTCTCTCCTATCTGCCTCCATTGTGTATTATGCTTAGTATCTGTGTTAAGAGTCAGACTTTCAGAATCTCAAAGAATCATAACAGCAGTAGTAAAAAAGGTACACAGTTCTGCCTCTTCCTTGGGTCATAGTGGGGAGAGATCCCCACACCTGTCCTCCTGCTCTGACTGCTATTTAATATGCTTGTCCCCAGTTTTGAGGAAGAGCATCATTATATCGTCTTGCATCTCATCATTGTGTCATGCTCTGACTGTAGTCACCTCCAAGAAACTGGACTGAATCTGAGATTTGGAGCTCCTCTTCCACCTTTCCATCTCTGACTCACTAAGTCTAGTCCTACTTTTCTAACACAGACCAGTGCAGTCATACTGTAGATAAAAGACATAGTCTTTCTAATGGGGTAGCTGTGAGCATAAACTAAAAATATTTATTTGCCTTTCAAATTTACTGAACAACTGTCTGCAAAATGATAAATGTAAATGATTATGCTTATGAAACACATACTGAATGCACTCAGTACTGAAGTTACATTTATACTGGTGGATACAGACATTCTCTGCCCCAAAATCAACATTATTGACTCTTAACCTGACATTTTGTTTAGCTTAGTTTAGTTTACTTTGGTTTAGTTTTGTTTTGTTTTGTTTTGTTTAGTTTTGTTTGGAGTTGTTCTCACTGTCCACTGTTGCTGCTCAATTCTCTCCTATTACTTCCCACCCAGGATCCTGTGATGCTGAGCCGAGTCTTACACTGCTGGCCAGACTCCTGAATTCTAGGAATGAAACTGTAGACCCCTGTGTGGATTTCTACAAGTATGCCTGTGGCAGCTGGGAAGGCAAACAGTCAAGCAGAACTACAGAAGAATCACTAAATGTATTTGATGTGCTGTTGGAAGAAAACCAGCTCATCCTGAAAAGACTTTTAGGTAGGGACATATGATTGATGTGTTAACTTCAGCAACTTCCTTAGTCAGAGCTGAGGATATCAAGGCCTGAGAGCACAATCATTCCTAATAGGGACTGAGCCCAGTCTCTTCCTTCTCCAATTGCAGGTACAGATTTATTCTTTAGCATATCATATTACAATAGCTGCATTTTAAACATTTCAGTTCCCCTTGCCAAGTATAACAGATCAAAGTCACACTTTAAAATTCTGACAGAAACCCAGAATTTTTTTTCTGTTGCCTTGTAGAAGTAGATCCTTTTTGGTATGCTTGTCTGAATATGCACTCTGGTCATGTGTCCTGACTTCATGAGGGACTGAAGCCTAAATGTGCACCACCTTCCCCTTGTGCTGCTGTTTCCCTGCAAAGAAACTCACCTATTTGGCCTCAGGAATAGTCATGGCACTAGAAGATCTCCTGCTTTGAACGGTTTTAGGAAGTATGAATGTATTTACTAAATTGTTATGAATCAAAATGCAGTCAAATATTTTCTTACAACTTTTGTCTGGTTTAATACTGCCCCCACTTTTTTTTTTTTTTAACTACTTTTGCAGTTTTAAATTTTTTTGGGTTTTGTTAGTTTGTTGTTTTTTTTCCTCAGAGAGCCCACAGTTTGGGTTAAGAGGCTCAGCTAAGGAGAAAGCAATCCGGTTCTATCGCTCCTGCATGGATACCCAACAGATAGAATCCCAAGGAACTCAACCATTGAAGGACCTCCTAAATCAGGTGAATGTTTGTGCTGTTTCCTCTCCCTCCAGAAGATAATTCCTGCAGGTGAAAGGAAAGTGTGAAGTTAGGGTCATGATGGAGTTTTGCTAGCATCTGGCACTCAGATAAGCATGGTTCACAGCACAACTTCTAAGTGTAAATCTTCTAGCTTTAAATGTTGTTTCAAGATTTTATTTTCTGACATTAGGTAGTTGAATCTTTCCTCATGGCTTTACATATTATATTAAGACTGTCTAACAACCAAAAATGCAAAGGGGGAACACTTTAATCTCAGTTCAATAGGATATCAGGGAACATCTTGCAAGATGGGTGAATTTTTTATGTCTAATATCAGATCTACTACTACTGGCAATCTACTACTTCTGGCTTCAAGGGGGCTCTTTTAAAGAGGAAAATGCTTCTCTGTCCATTGTGGGAGACTCTTCTCAGTGCCAGGGAGAGTTGTATTTCTTCCTGCCAGCAAAGAGCATTTATGCCATGCCTTCAAGGACGATACAGACCCTTCCACCAGAAGGAACAGTAACTGTAGACCCACCCATGAACCTGCTTGCCAGGGAGGTGGGACCTGTAATCCCCAATCCCTGGTTGTCCTTCTGAACAGCTTTAGAAAAATGACACCTCTTTCCTCTCTCCTCCTCCTGCTGTCTTCCTGGACACCTTGTTCTCTTGATAATTACAATCCCTTTCTCTGTGTAGTGTTGCAGTTCATCCCTTTGCTTACATGAAAGTGACAGGTCATTTTAAAGCCATCAGGGTATATAAAAATCTTCAAGAGTTTCCCCTGTTGCTATTTGTTTTGTTGCTTCTTAGTTGTCATAATGACCAAGTTCATAGGAATGAAAAAAAGATTTTGTTAATATGAATAAAATGTGTGTTTTTCTCTTCTGTCATGATCTGCTGTCATGCTGTCTCTCTCCCTCTCTAGGTTGGTGGGTGGAATATCACAGGTGAGGAGAAAGCAAAAAATTTTAATGAAACTCTTCAGACTCTCATGGGCAGATACAGCACCTTTCCCTTTTTCAGAGTTCAGGTGGGACCTGGTCCTTTTGACCATGAGACCAACATTATTCAGGTGAGTATACTAAAGAAAGAAAATTATCCTGAAGCACTAGGAATAAAGAGTCAGTTACACAGCTCATGAAACCCAGGCTTGCCCAAGTTAAGCCTGTGTTCTTCTCTGAAGAGAATTTTCCTAAATTTCAGCAAACTTCTTGATTTTATTTCACAAAAAGCACTTATTTCTGGAAAATGAGCAGATGAAAAAGAATAAATTGCTTACTTTCTCTCATCTCTTCTGCTTGACAGTGTAGATTATACTTCATGGTGGAAGGGTGTGATTCTTCCTATATTCATGGGTATGGCTAGTACAATAATGGACTTTAAGTCTAAGTGTCTGATGCATGTAGTGTACAATGAATTTTGCACTTCTGTGCTGTGCTTGAGATCAGGTAAGCAGATAAGCATTCATTCACTCCTTCACCCCATGGGATGGGGAGAAAAATTCAGTGGTAGAAGTGTGAATATTCATGGATTGAGAAAAATAAAGTAGAAAGACAGAAAAGGAGGGAGAAAGCAGTTCCTAAGCAATGGTAGCCCTGGCCAACCTCCTTCACTCTCACTTTTATTGTTAAATAGGTTGTCATATGGTGTGGAATATCCTTTTAGTGAGTTGGGGCCAACTGTCCCAGCTGTTTCCCTTCCCAGCTTCCCATGCACCCCCAGGCTTCTTGCTGGTGGGACAATGTCAGGAGTAGCCTTGAATCTGTGTAAGCACTGCTCAGCAATAATTAAAACATCCCTGTGTTATCAACACAGTTTTCAATACAAATGCAAAATATAGCCCCATACTAGCTATTACAAATAAATTTATCTCTATCCCAGCCAAAATAATGTAGAAGTATTTAACATGGTTTCCATTTCAGTATCACTGACTGCAGATTTGTAATCAGTTTGTAAATAAGCTGCAGGATATGATGGATCCACAACAATCACTTAGCACACATTTTTCCGAAGTAAAAGCAGTTTATTAACATTTCAAATTTTGTGATACAGAAATTAACAAAGCCTGTTGAGCCTATCGTTATATTTCCAGTGTTTCTGGAAATAGCAAGATATTTTTCCTTTACTCCTTTTTGCAGATTGACCATCCTGAGTTTGAGATGCCACCTGAGAGTAAATTCAAAGAGAAAAATTATCTTGAGGTAACATATCAGAGGCTGATGAAAGGTAAAAATAGCTATTTGGTGTAGGGATCTCCTTGATTCAGAGTGATCTGTTTCCATGGGTTACAGTAAGTGACCTCTGAACATATGTCTAGAAAGAATTATTACAAATCTCTCTACTTTTCCAAAAAGACAGTTTGCAAAATGTCAGATGCCAGATTTAAAACATCTAGTATAGAAACAGAATGTTATAGTTTTAATTTGTATTTGCTGAGTAATATGAACCCAGGCTTCTTTATAGGTTTCACCCTGAATGAATGTTTAAATTATATATTAAAAAACCTCTTCTCCAAAGCAAGGGTTTACAACTTAAAATCCATGTTTTGGGGAAGGGTAGATAACATTTTAAAAGTGATCTTTAAATGTTTTAAATAAAGGTGAGGAAACAAGCTCTTTGACCTTGGGAGTTACTGCTAAAAGTTATTTTTCTGAACTTTATAAAAACTAATAGATTTCAGTTTCTGAGTCTGACTTTTTTTAGAGTAGTCCTCAAAAAATAAGGTCTGTCTAGCCATCACAAGAATTCCTTCGATACGTCATGAAAATTGAAGCAAGAAACTGGTATTTTCTCTCCATCAAAAATGCTATCTACTTATGTCACTACATCTCTCTCCTTTGACTCCAGAGATGGCAGATCTATGACTGATTCTGGTATCTAAAATAATTGTAAGCTGGGACAAAAAAGTAATTTTGGGAATTCAGTATTCTTCACTGAGAGAACAGCTGTACTTGGCAAACTGTATTCCACATGAAGGGTGTTGCAGTGAAGAAGGCAGTTTTAAGGACAAGGCTGCAGTGGTTTTGAAAGACTGAAGCTTATATGATCAAGATGGATGGTTGGATGGATGAACAGATGTTACTATTTTTCAGTTATGTTTCTCCCACTGGTCATATGCTCCTGTATTGCAGGTTCTCCGTGTGTATCTCTCATATTTGAAGAAACTGGAGGGCCTACTTGGAGGCCCACAGGATGGTTCTCCTGACTCCTTTTCCCTTACTTTGTCTTTCATCTCTAACCTCCAGCGAGTTGTCACCCCACTGCAAGAAAGACAGCAGAGGGGGATGCTGTTCTTTCGTACTACCATTAGGGAGCTACAGGTATCTATCCATCTATGCCTTAGAATTTGAGCAACGTAATTACATGTGACATTCTCTTTCTGAAGATCCAGATTGAAAGAGATATGAGTCACACTGCTTAGATACCATTTTCTTGCAACTTACACTTGGAGTCTGTTGAGCTGTAAACAACCCATTAACTTACAGTGTTTTATTGGCAGCAGTTGGAATTTTTTCAGGCCTACAACTCTCTCCCCTCCCCAGTGCTGATTCAAGTTTTAAAAAGTCAGTTCTCCTTTTCTACTATAATCTATAGCCATATCATTAAAACAGCTTAATGTGTTGAAATTATGTCCTAACAGTATTTGAGAGACTATCCCAGTTTGCCTACGATTTCTTGCCAGTCAGTCCAGTTTCATAGTTCAGCATGCAAACTTTGTTTTACTTCTAGGAAAAGGCACCTGCTATTGACTGGCTGTCATGTCTCCAGGCTGTCTTCTATCCTATGCCAATGAACCTCTCTCAGCCAATTGCAGTGCATGACATGGATTACTTAAGAGGCATGTCACAGCTTATCCAGCAATGGCAAAAGGAAAGGTAGGAGTCAATATCTATGTTTGTAGTTGTCAATAACTCAATAAATACTAACTTTAGGTACCATAAATTAAAGAGGTCTGTGTTCAGAGGCTGCTGAATCCAGCAGCCTAACAATTGCAAGGCTGCTATGTTTTTATATCCACAGGTTTAGCATATACTCCCAGTAAGCTTGCACATGCATGCACCATCTGTGTACAGACCTATAAATATGTGTGTGTCACACATATCAGCAGAGATGGAACACAGTTCCTTTACTGGCACCTACCCATCCTAAGCACTCACACAAACACGAACAGCTCAGGCAGCTGGATCCTATTCCTTCTCTCCAGCTGATTGGGATTAGTCTATACTAGTGAAACCTTTATATATACATACAAAGTAGCTGATCTTATATAGTCAGTATATCCAGAAGATGGGCCCAGATCCCCTACTGTCCACAGGTGCTGGCAACCTGGATAAGACCAAGAGTCTTCCAACTCTACTTAAATTGTTGGTACTCAGGTCTCTCCCTGTTAAAAACACACATACATAAGCAGATCTGCCTAGCAGCAAGTCCAAACCGTTAGTCTCTCCAGTACACAATTCTGAGATCCTTGGTCTTTCTGGCAGCTAGCTTGAACCAAAGACCCTCCATTACTCAGACTCCTTGTCTCTCCAGTATTCAGTCTCATCTTCACACACAGACAGTAGAATGTGATATATGAACAGCATTTAATAAGATACAACAGATTCTGGTGACCATGTCAATCAGACAGGTATCTTGGCAAGCTACAAGTTTATGCTCAACAATTCCCTCTTGCCACCTTTCCTCTCCATTTTCCCTTGCATGGTCCCACCAATACACCATGATCCTTTCCTTTCCCTGCCTTTGCTTCTTCTTATAAACAACCCATAATAAGTGTCACAGAACCCCACAGACCCCTCAAAATATTCTATAATAATTTCATCCAGTGCTAAGAATGCTTTTTCTCCTACTTCCCATAAAGAATCGTGTGCTCTAGCAGGCAATTACCCCTTGAGTCTTAACAGTGTTCTGGGAAGAGACTGAATGTCTTGTGTCAAATCATGGCTGACTCTGACTCTTTGGATCATCCTCCTTTGATAGCCCCAGATATAGCCCGTTCAGAATACTTTGTTGTCATTCTTCAGGTTTCTAGGATTCCTCTACCTCAAATTATTCCTCTGACACTTGCCATACCTCTGTGTTTATAGTGACCAGTCTTCAGTCTTTTAAAATGTCATTTTCCTACAGGGTCCTTCACATTTATATGATTGTTTGTCTGATTGGGAATCTCTCCCCAGCCCTTGACAGTCGATTCCAAGATGCACGCCTGGAGCTATCTAAGATTCTTCATGGAGAAATGGGATCTAGAATGGTGAGTTAGTCTTCAGCCATCTTCTTCAGCCTCCCCAGCATCTGAACACCCTAGGACATGCTCTCTTGATGCCTGGATGCTCTCTTGATGCCTTGTCTAGATGGAGTTTCTTAGATCTGGGGAGGAAAACCACTCTCACTAGGCCATTAAATGTTTCCTTTTTCTCAAATAAATATGGGAGTAGATATGACACACCTTTAGAGATCTAGGTGCACTGTATCATGGGGTAGGGAGCAACAGGTAGATGGTCACTTTCTGTGTATTTGTCTCAGCTAGAACATAGATCTTTATCTTGCGTGAAAGTAAGTGAAGAAAAAAAAATACTCAGTGTTTTACTTCATTAACATTTTCTGAGGTAACTTAAATGGGGCTACATATCATTCAGTGATGTAATTTTTAGATAGCAGGGTATACACTACTGACTGCACACTAACATATCTTTTTACCGTCTTCCTATCTCTTTGTCCTCACTCTCATGTGTCTCTGTTTCTTTCTCTGTTACAGTTCCCAGCAGAGCGCTGGAAGAAGTGCTTGACTGATACTAGCTCTTTCTTTGAGCCAGTTCTAGGGCAGATGTTTGTGCAAGAAATTTTCCCTCAGCAGACCAAGAAACGTGTAGGTATTCATTCTCTCAACACCCAAGAAGAGCTCAGCTTCTTCTAATTTTTTAATTTTTTTAATTTTTTTTTTTTACTTGCCAAATTAAGTCCACTTCAAAGCAGCAAAATCGTGTGTAGGTTACATATTCCTGTACTTATGCACTTCCCCTCCTTTTTGGGGAAAGATGTCAGAACAGGGCACTGCTGTCACTGCTAGAATAATTAATGAAAAAATAGCAGCTATTATCTTTATCTCAACCGTTAGCAAAATCACATGTGCAGCACCAATACCTAAGACAACCCTACAAATGCATGCAAACCCTGTGTTCATCCTGGAATGAGAGTTAGTGTTAAAAATACTCATCACCAATCTGACATATTTAAATAACATTTTTCAATTGCCAAGCTATTAAACCAACATATGACCAGCTGTGTAGAAATAAATCAGTGCCATCAGATAATAAATCAGATTCTGAGTGGATCCACAGTAAAATAACACCTGCCTGCAGTGTGGAAAAGATTTAATTTTTTTGTTCCTTTGATGATGAGAGTTCCTTTTTCTTTTGAAGGAAATTCATGTACATGCCAGGTTGAGAAAGAATTTGTAGTGTATAAAGTGACAAGAGTAAATTACCCCAATAGAAGTTATGGAAGAATCTAAGACTGTGTGTAGTAAAGCACGAAGCTGAACAAAACATAATTTTGTGAAGAGACTTGGATTGCCATAACTTCAGAAAGAGAGACACCAGCATGAAATACTTGTGGATACTGAATTTTCATGTAAATGAAGATGTGTGGCAATCATTTGGTCCATTCCTATCCTAACAGGGATTGAATGAAATAGAATTGTTCCCTTTTTAGTTACCATGAGGGACAAGTTGAAAAGGTGTGTGGGAGAGAATGGTGAGACCTGTGAAGAACCACTGGATGCCAAATACCTTAAGCCCAAATAATTGTAGAAACTGAAATCTCCTCTGTCATCACAAGAAGAGGAATTTTCTTCTAATTACTTGTAGTTTAATTGCTGGAACATAGAAAGATGGTAGCTAAGCCTGAAAAATGTTTTTTCTGCAGTTCTGACTGTACCTTCTGCTCTCCATGGCAGGCTGATCAGATGTTCTCTGAGATCCGAGATGCCCTTTATGGCCAACTTAATCAGTTGGAGTGGATGGATGAACAGACCCGCCAAGGGGCTAAAGTCTTGGTGAGTGCAGGAGGCAGTAGTTACTGAGGCCTTCCTTTTGCTGAAACCTTTCAAGAAGGAGTGGAAGGGGCCTGCACCATCACGTATTCATAACTTCTCTACAGCCACACAATATTCAATAGACCTATTATACACACTGAAAATGGTAGGTGGCCATCAATATGATAGCAAATAAGGGTCATAATGAATATATGACCAGACATTGATATGCAGGCACAGAAAGGCTCAGTGTTTGTCCATGGATACTCTGAGTAAATTGTATTGATATACAATTCAGTTTTATACACCTAGAGAGATTAAAAATCTATGAAGAAGATGCCTTGTTGAAACAGAGTAGCTGACATTTTGAAGGGCTGATGCACATAGTATATTTAGGTTGTTTAGAAATAGAATTTAAATAAGACTTGTAGAATGTAAACCCTCGTATTGGTCATGTTTCTTTCTGATTGTTTCTTTGTTATTATTTTAGGTTTCCAAATTACAAGTGGAGATCGGCTATCCAGTTCACATACTCCAGACTGCCAAAGTGAATCTGGAATATCAGAATGTGAGCTAATGTAAACAATCCCGACTCATTATTAGCAGTTTACGTGTACCAACTGCTATTTTGCCTGCTGCTAAAAGAGGCTGTGACCTCTAGAGCAGAGCACATTTCCTACTGCTAATTTTCTAGGAACATACAGACCCAGAGAACCTTTATCTGTTGCTCCTACATTGTTGCCTGTGCTGTCTCCTATTTAAAGTGGCTGACCTGATAGACACTGATTGTGACCTGCTTGTACATTCTGTTTGGCTTGCAGATAACATTCCTCTCATATCTTAAACTTAAGGTCTTTAGAACTGGGAAAGGAAAAAAACCACAAACATTCCATTGGTTTGCCTTTTGATGAACCCTGGAACTGCCCTGTCATATTACCTCTCTTTTCCCTCAGTTGGAGATAAATGAAGACACTTTTTTCCTCAATGTGGTGGCTTGCTTGAATGTACTGAGGGAAAATTCCTACTTGAAACTCCTTCAGCATCACACACAGGATAAGTAAGTGTCAGGTACTGATCTGAAAAATATAACAGAATCACACACTCATGTACTAACTGAAGTTGGAAGGGATCTGTGGAGACCACCTAGTGCAACTCTCCTGCTCAAAGCAGGATCAGCTAGAGCAAGTTGGAGGGAGTGTTGATCTGCCTAAGGGTAGGAAGGCTCTACAACAGGATCTGGACAGGTTGGATTGATGGGTTGAGGTCAATTGTATGAGGTTAAAGAAGGCCAAACACCACGTCCTGCACTTGGGTCACAACAATCCCCATGCAACACTATATATAGGCTTGGGGAAGAGTGACTGGAAGACTACCCAGAGAAAAGGACCTGGGGGTGCCGATCAATAGCTGGCTGAATGTGAGCCAGCAGTGTGCCCAGGTGACCAAGAAGGCCAGCAACATCCTGGCCTGCATCAGAAATAGTGTGGCCAGCAGGAGCAGGGAAGTGAGTGTGCCCCTGTGCTTGGCACTGGTGGGGCTGCCTCTCAAAGACTGTGTGCTGAAGCATGTTCAGAGAAGGGCAATGAAGCTGGCGGAGTGTCTAAAGCACAAGCAGCTGAGGGAATTGGAATTTTTCAGTTTGAAGATGAGGAAGCTGAGAGGAGACCTTATTGCTCTCCACAACTACCTGAAAGGGTAGAGATGGACACAATACTTCTGGATGTGGTTTCACCAGTCCCAAATAGAGGGGCTTAAACACCTTTCTGCTGGTAACAGTTTTTCTAATGCAAGACAAGATGCTGTTGTCCTTCTTTGCTGCAAGGCTGCAATTGCTGCATCCTGATTTAAAAAGCCTTGAATCTGGCAGCCTATTTTGCATTCAGCATAAGCTCATGCTACCAAAAAAAACCCACCACTGTGAAGAGAGCTCCATACACCTGAAAAAAAAAACCTTTTTTGCCCATGAACCCTTTAGTAAAGGAGACAGCTGACTCTCTCAGAGTTAGCAGCAAAGCAAACAGCAAGGCACTGTGATGACATGAATGTTAGCAGAGTCACCTCAAAGGCAGGACATAGGATCCTTCAGAAGGCAGGCAGCATTGACAGGCTTGGGACCTGACTCTGCCTGAAGAATATTCTGTGCAGGACTTTACAGGAGGTTACTAATTGTGACTCACTTGACAGGGAAGTTGTGAGGGTCAATCCCTTCATGTATATGAAAGGTAAGCTACTAGCTCTGACAATCTGTAAACCCATGAAGGTTTATTTCAAACACCTTTAACTAAGGCTATTCACTAATGTGTGTTTCACCATTTGCTGCCGTTGTATGAACAGTTAGGTACTGAGTAGACCATTTCTGCTCTGTATTTCAGTGGAGAAAACGAGCAAGACATAAGGAATCAATACATTCTCTCCTTTCTCTTTTTCTGTTTCTAGCTGGCGTGTCTCCCCCTGGTCTGTGCATTCATACTACTCAATAAGGCATCACGTGGTGGTCTTTCCAGCTGGAATGTTCCGCAGCCCTTTTTTCCATATGAACTTTCCCAGGTATGGAGGGGTTGCAAAGGTGGAATCTCCCTTGGCTGCACCATGTTTCTGGGAAGAATCTAAATGGGTCTCTTCAACATCTTTTTCTTACTTCATTCTGCAGAGACACAGTAAAGGGAGCGAGAAAGCTTTCCCTAAAGCCAGATGCATACTGCCTTATGAGTTCTGAAAGAGTGTGATCATTGACTCTGCAAAATCAGAATCTAGGAGAAACTAAGCTAAGCCAAGTATATTACTCTAGAGCAAAGAGGCAAAGAAGACATTTCACCTTTGCCTCACATTTTCTAGATTCCAAGAATTCCTGAAATCTGACCCAGAAAAAATGGACCCTCACAGAGCAACTTCTTGTGAGAAGTCTTTTTCAAATGGATCAAACACAGTTCTCTTCCTTTTTTTAAAATAACACTTCTCAAATAAGCACTTTTAAAGCTGAGTCTTCCCCTCCAATGATGTCTCTTCTGTAGACCATACTGTTATACTTTGGTTCTTTAATCATATGGAACAGATCTGTTAAGTAATGTTTTTATGCCATTAAATACACTTAAAAGATTTGACTGTCAAAATATTACTTTACGTCATTTTTTACTTAATAATGTGTAGATATTTTTCCTAATGACTGGAAGATAAGCTCATGCTGTGGCAATAATGAAATGTATCTCAGTTAAAAGTGTTTATTTTCTTCATGGTGTCCTAGCACTAGTTGCATGATATCTTCTACTGCTTGCAATATTTGATGAATTCATTATAATATGAAGGACACCTTGAAAAGAAGAAGAGATAAAAAATTTTTCCAGGGGTAGGGTTAGTCACCATAGTCTTCCTATCTGAAAAAGTGTCTACAGCTTCTTATTCCTCTTTTATTCAGTGTTGGTAAAATACATTTTTCTTATTGTTATCCCAGACGAGTAGTCTGATAAGTCAAACTCAATCACCTTTTGGTGGGTTAGCACAATACCATTTTCTCAGATGATGTTCCAAAGTTTAAACTTGGACAAAAGCCAATTCAGATGATTGAGGATAATTTTTAAAATAAGTCAGAAAAGCAGTACAATTGTTATAGAATCATAGAACAGTTTGGGTTGAAAGGGACCTCTAAAGACATCTAGGCCAACCTCTTGCCATGGGCTGGGATGTCTTTCAGTAGATCAGATTGCTCAAAGCCCCATCCTACTTGATCTTGAACATTTCCAAATAGGAGGCATCCATAATTTCTCTGGGCAACAATCAGAAATTACCAGCTACAGAGCTTTTGAAAGAGCAGTTCTGAGAGAAGTTGAGTTTTCTATTCCTGTCACTTCCTACCAAGTTCCAGTGGTGTAATAATGTTCTAACACAATAATTTCATGCTTCAGCAGCGTTAATCAGTGCATGTAAAGAAAGAACGAGCCCACCATTTAATATTGTGGAAATGCACTTTGAGTGTACTCTTACTTGTGTACTATTTGTACATTCATTGCATGGAATCATAGAAATTCTGACTGGAAAGAACTACTGGAGTTGTCTGGTAGAACCTCTTGGTTATACAGGGAGATAACCAATACTAGAGCAGAGTAATTGTAGTCAAACCATCACAATTTTAATTTGCCTTGCCAGGTTTGTGTGTAATTTTTTTCTGGACAACTGTTCCAAGATTGCTTTTGTATAATTACCATTGCACTAAATGTTTGTGCAGCAGTTTAGCCAGTAGTGGGTAAATGAGGGTAAATCAGTAGGTAAATCTCAACAACAGCACCTGTCATTAGAGTTAATAGAGACCAAATCTCAATCACAGTCTCTTCATGAATATGATGGCTTATTAGGTATTAATATTTAATACAAGCCCATAGCAAAATTTTAAGCATCAGTAATTTACATTTGTATTTTCATTTTTACAGCATGTACCATGTGAGAAACAATAAAAAAGAAAGTCTGTATGCTTTCAGAGTAGAATGCTCCTATTCAGCCCACAGTTGCACTCAGCGGATATAATGAATGCTCACCTGCCCTCTTTTTCTTTTCAAATCACTCTTTTAATGTTGTTTGGTTTGTTTGTTTTTTCAGTGCTGTGAACTTTGGAGCTATTGGGGTCTTCATGGCGCATGAACTTCTTCATATGTTCTATGGTTATGGTGGGTACCGACCGTGGTGTCTTTTTTAACTCATCTAGGTCCTCCGCAGTACTTTCCCTCAGAGGATCTTAAATCCTGGTTCCTATATTGCTGTATACATATATTATTAAGAAAATGAAGTTAAGGGAAAACCCATTCCAGGCCATACTGACTACTAAGATGATTCAGTGATTAGTGTGAGAAATACAGGTGAATGCCAGAAATGTATTTACTTTCTAGGGTATTTTTTTTCCCCACAGTGCTGCCTGGGGGCTGTCCTACATGCAACAGGAGTGCACTACAGAAATCTGTAGACTGCTTGGTTGAACAGTATGAAAGCTATGGCTTCAATGTCAATGGCACTTTTACACTGTTGGAGAATACAGCCGACACTGGAGGACTCACCATTGCTTACCAGGTACTGTGTTCTACTTACTTCTCTAATCTCATAGTCTCACCATAAGACTCAACCTCCATGTTGAAAGGTTGCTCTGCTGCAGCCCTCTCCTACATGCTGCTCCAGTTCCAGATTTCTTGCACATCTGTGTCAGTGCAGTTGTCTGCTATTCCAGACATAGGATCCTCATAAAGCTTTGCTCATAACCTCACTACTTCCATGTGAGAACACTTCTTCCCTTCACCAGTTCCGGGGTGGACCTTTCTTTATTTCCCCATTTATGTCATGCATACAAAAAGCATGTTATTATTTATTTGTTTATGTTATACCTGGGGAACTAAGCTGAGACATGAAGCAGGATTCTGTGTAGTGGTAAAATTACTCCATATTAATGTTTTCAGCAATACTTTAGTCTAGAAAGAATTTTTTATTTCCTCATGCAGTAGTTCAACAGTTTAATTAATTACTGAGTGCAGGGTGCTCTGAGATATCTAGGTCTCAGATTGTATTTGCTATGTTTTTGCACAAAGAATGTTGGAAGGGTTTGAATATTTTTATTCAATTATGTGTGACTTTCTTTGAAAATAATTTTTATAATTTCGTAGTGCAGTCACCACATCTTCTCTTATTATGACTGTGTGTGGGTGGTAGTGTTTGAAATGGGAAGCAAAGGAGTTATGTTGTGATTCTCCCATCTTAAGAGTTAGCAAGGGCATGGCCAGCAGCAGGAAGCCTCAGAGTGAGGAGAGAGAGATACAGACTTGCTAATTTATTAAGTACATATTATATTGATATATTTCATGGACAGAAGACATGGTTTTGGGACATCTGAAGGGGGATTTATTATTCTTATTATTAATTTCTTCTCTCCATAGGCCTATAAGAATTGGCTGAAAAAACACAAAGAAGAGAATTTACCTGAGATTGGACTTTCACATGACCAGCTTTTCTACCTCAGTTTTGCTCATGTAATGGATTCTAGGCTAGTTGTGTGTGTCTCTCACTCTCCATTGTCTTCCACATTATTAGAGTTTATCTTTTTCAATGTTGAATCACTTTTCCCCCTCTTCACAGAACTGGGCATGACCAATTTTTTAGGGAGACCCAGATTCTAATTTAGAAAGCTAAAATTAACATATAAGGACCCTAATCTGTTACGGATCTCAAAGCAAACAAAAGACCTCTCTGAAAATGTGGCTTTTACAAAGCTCTGAAATATACCAAAATTAAGCTGTAGCAGACAAGTAGTGTTAGGGAAAGCATGCTTCATTGCCAGGACTTCTGAGTAATTCTTTGCTGTTGTGAGCAACCTCACACACCGAAAGTGGCATTTTACTCGAAAGGGAGCATATCTGCCTCTCTGTCGTGGTGAATAACTAGATGTCATGTCATTCTGAGTGACTGATAATGAAAAAAAGTTTAGAATGTTATTTAAAGATAAAGAGCTAGAAGTACATGCACACATAGTTTAAAATTTCTGTGGGAATCTGGTTTAAGGATTTGTGTAAATCTGTGCCATAGTTGTGTACTTGAGCTCCTCGTGACAGAGAATGGATTTCTATGCTCAGAGAAGTCACATCCTTATAAGTCACTGTAATTGTGCAAAGGGAAAATTTTTGTGCATGTATTGACATTAGGTCAGAGCAGTGTGTAGAAAAGTAGTTCTGAAATCAGATTATTTGGTTTTAGTGCCAAGATTTGCATTTCAGAGGCTATCTGGCTGCTACTGCTTCCTTTGTCAATGAATAAAGACTAATCACAAGATTGAAGACTTGAACTGCCAGTTTAACACCACTGAAGTAACCTGACCTTTCCCCCAGTCTCTGGAGTAGTAATGGGATGTTGTGTTAAGTGCTCTTCTTTCTTGATGAGCACCCATTGCTTTTGAAGAAGCTGAATCTAGACACAGAGGCTACATCTATACCATTAAATTAGATGGAGTCCAAGGTTGCATGAGCTTAAACTCCAAGGTAGTCTAAATTCCCTATGTTCTGGACTATGCAGTATAGAAAAAAGAGTAGATGGCTTGCCAGGTAAGGAAATTGGAACAGAGATGTTTAGGGAAAAACAGTCAGAAATAGTGCTGGTGAAGGTAAAGATCTGAACATTGTTGGCACCCTTGTGTATGTCCTAGTTTACTCCAGTAGCCTCAGTCACATGTAGAGCCTTAACTCTTGTTCACCTGAGAGCTTTCAGTCAAACCGACTTTTCTATTTTGCTTCCCTTCAGGCAATGTGTGGATACCAAGATCCTGAGAAACTACAGTCTTCCCTGAACAGCGATCCACACAGTCCCTTGCCACTTCGTGTGTGGGGGCCTGTCAGCAATAGTCAGGACTTTGCCAAGCACTTCCACTGTTCCAGTGGATCCCCAATGAATCCAGACAAGAAGTGCCACATCTGGTAATCTACATTGAGAGATATGACCCCAGAGAGAGGAAAGTCTGACCCATGAAAGTATGACCATCTTCTGAGGGCCCCTAGGGTGCTCTTATTCACTCCTCTGCCATCCTTTTCTTATCCTTTCCTCAGAAGTTGATGGTAGCAAAGTTCTTAAACTGAGCTCATAAGGGTCTTCTTCTACTGTTCTACTGTTTTCAGCAGTCTGTCCCAGATGTGGCAACTCTGGAGTTTACATGTCCCAGGGTAGCAAGTCTCTATTAGGCAACAATTTCTGAGGAGCTGTCAATAGGACTGCTACATTGGAAGTCCTTCTGTTCAGTGGATTTCCCTTCTACTCCAACAGACTTGCAGTCATGTTGAAGGGTCAGGGCAATAAGCTGGAACTCTAATACTTGTTCATGTGAGATTGGCTCTTCGGCAAATCCTATAGGTTACTACCTGTAAATTACCACATGTAATTTACAAGAGCAAAGAATCCTCTTCTTCTGCCAAGAAATGGAAAGATGCAGTAGGAAAGACTCAGTGGCTCCAGCTTCTAGGCTGAAAGATAAGTCACTTAATAGTAGAGGTTACTGAAGGCCTTCCCTGTTTTGTTGTTTTTTTTAATCAGGAAAACTCCTAAAAGGCAAAAGAGGAAAGAGAGAAGCATCCCCATTGCTGAGAGGGTGATTAGGAGCTGAGAGCAGATTATCTTTCTTCTTCCTTTCTTTTCCAGCAAGATTATATCTTTTTTAGTCTCTATGTAGAGTTAAGGATATGGTTGAGGGTGGAGTATGAGACTGTCACAAGGGTTTCTAGAAGTTTCTGAAGACTCAGCAATTAGAATTCCAAGAACTTCTCTGGATCCTGAACCTGGTTCTCTCAATCCTAAAAAGTTTGTGAATATTTACCATCCAAATAGACTAGTAAAGCTCCTGTAGGATTTTACTTCCTACTTGAAACTGAAATTTATGTATTAATTTACATTAGAGGTAAAAGAGAGTAAGAAGAATATATTTCAGGGTAGGAGTACAAGGGCTTAATACACATTCTCAAGAACAACTTAATTACATCAATTTCAGGTTCTGATAATTAGAAAATGTATACAATTTTTCTAAAATTTACTAAATATAATAAGTATACAAAATACTCCTATATTTTGCATATTCTTCAAACTGTTCATAGAATCCTAGGGGTTGGAAGGGACCTCGAAAGATCATCTAGTCCAACCCCTCCTGCCAGAGCAGGGTCACCTAGAGCACATCACACAGGAACGCATCCAGGTGGGTTTTGAATGTCTTCAGTGAAGGAGGCTCCACAACCTCCCTGGGCAGCCTGTTCCAGTGCTGTCACTCTCACAGTAAAAAAATGTGTTTGGATATTCACCTTGAACCTCCTATGCTCCAATTTGCACCCATTACCCCTTGTCCTATCACTGGTCATCACTGAGAAAAGCCTAACTCCATCTTTCTGACACTCATCCCTTACATATTTGTAAACATTGATGAGGTCACCCCTCAGTCTCCTTTTCTCCAAGCTAAAGAAACCCAGCTCCCTCAGCCTTTCCTCATAAGGGAGATGTTCCACTCCCTTAATCATCTTTGTAGCTCTGCGCTGGACTCTTTCAAGCAGTTCCCTGTCCTTGAACTGAGGGGCCCAGAACTGGACACAATATTCCAGATGCGGCCTCACCAATGCAGAATAGAGGGGGAGGAGAACCTCTCTTGACCTACTAACCACACCCTTTCTAATGCACCCCAGGATGCCATTGGCCTTCTTGGCCACAAGGGCACATTGCGGGCTCATGGTCATCCTCCTGTCTACCAGGACCCCCAGGTCTCTTTCACCTACACTACTCTCCAGCAGTTCAGCCCCCAACCTGTACTGGGACATGGTGTTGTTCTTCCCCAAATGTAAAACTCTGCACTTCCCCTTGTTGAATTTCATCAGGTTTCTCCCTGCCCAACTCTCCAGCCTGCCCAGGTCTCCCTGAATGGCAGCACAGCCCGCGTTCTTTCTCAGCACGGCTTTAGGCCGCGCTGTGACACACTCGCCCTTCTCCCCGCTCCGTACCTGCCCTCGCGCCCGCCCCGCGCCACCGCCTCGCGCTGCCGCGTGCTCGGACGGGCGCGCCGGGAGTGCCGCTCTGAC